AGATAAGGTTTTCTTCCCGAAAGGGACGTCATTATTCATAGTCTTATTCGGCGTTCTTCAGTACCAGATTCCTCCGTGCTCATCGTGTGCTCATAAAAATACACTTTTGGATCTTTTTTATGCAGACAACTTGTTTCTTTGCTTACTGACTGTATTTCATGACCGCATTACTGGAGCAGCTAAAAATGGGATTTGTTTCGCAGTAGATGGTTTACTCAAAATACTGGAATTCATGATACCATGAATGAAGTGCATACTAGTGGCTTCCAATTTGAAGGCTGCAGAAATACCATGGAGGGATTTGGAGTCTTTCATTGAACTCAGCCGAAACATTAGACCACTAAACTGTTCTCTTGAAAAGTAACTAGTTTGATTTAGTAGGTTTACTGAAAAATTGCTAATTTTATTGACTATGATTAACTTTTGCTCAAGGGTACCATGTATATGGACTGCCGTCCACCTTTGTTGATTGTGCATTTTAAAAAAATGCAGTCGGCGTCCAAATTTCCTCCCATCGCCTGGTTCGCTAACCCAGCATATGAGGGCCAAATATCATTTCCAATTTCTCCTTTTCCGAACCTCAGCTTTGCCATTTGCATTTAACTTTCGTTTGGTCCTGTATTAATGCTTTTAACGTTGAAAAGGGCTTTTGGATCCTATGCTTTATTAGCTTTTTGTCGGGTTTAAAATTCTAGAAACATTAAAATTATCATGGAACCTTAGTGAGTACAGTGAAAAGCGGAACCGTGGGTCGTGGGACAAACCCTGTCACCATCGGTTTGTAAGTACTTTCTCAGATTTCCCAAAAGTTGTCTTTTGAGGCTTCTAAAAGTTGTTGGAAATTCTTTGTTACATGAGTTCCTACTCTTAGGAAAATTTTACCGCATATTCCTTATAAAAGATACCTAGCCGTTTTGGTCTTATTCACTGCTTAATTTTAAGTAAGTAACTGTGTTCAGTTTCTTGGTGTTTTTCACTCATTTTCAAAACGTTTTACTCATCTCTGTGTATAGTTGAGTTTTCACTTTTGTGATAATCTTTCTGACATACTAAGAAGAAAATTAGTTTTTATATTTACCATTGCGAATCATCCTTAAATGGTATAACTGGTGTTGCATCTACTTTTACAGGATCGGATACATCACCAGACGCCTATTACCTGGTTCAATATGCACGTGTTTTACGTTATCTTCTTTGTCATTGCTACTGGTATTCAAGCTTAGAAATCCTTTACTCTCACTTTGAGGCATCAGTTTTTATCCACACCTAATCTTTTATCTTGTATGGATTCCACCAACAGCATCGAAATCACAAGTGCTTTTTGCACAAACCGATAGATCGTTAAGAGCTGGACCATTTTTATTCTCGAGCTGTGCCCACGGGACGGAGTTGATCATCCGACTTGTCTTTTTTTATGAAATTCATTTTATTAGGTCTCTACTAGTTTCAATCAACGTGCGAGTGCTATTGATGCCTGTAGATTACAATGAGGTGCGGTCGTTTGCAAACCCTACCAGTAACCCGGTGTTTGAGGACTGTATTAGTGATTCTTTGCTTTGCCGGTCCTATCCCTAGTGTGTGATTTACCAGACGTTACCAATCAGGCGAAATAATTTATGTATGGGCTCTGTATTTTTGAAGAGTAACACTTGGAGTTATCCGTATGCAGGTTTTGCATCTTGGAGTCATAGCGATGCGGGAACATTGTATGATTTTAACGACTGTGGTATTTTGACTGTCATTAGCAATTTTTACTCAGAAGGCAAATTACCAATCTGACGGGGTCGGTGTCATCTTGTGGGCCATTTAGAGTGCTCAGTCCTTTTAAATGAAGTACTTCAAGCGATACACTTAAACTTCTGATTGTTTTCGTCATTGTATCAAAAGCTTGATCTGTAGCAGACCATTCGCACACAACGGAATTACGAGGCCGAGAATGGTACCGACACCTAGGTTCATATAAGTGATTCGTACTTCTTAATGATATCAACATTTGTGGCCATTTGGCCTCACGGAAGATGGATCTCCATTTCAACTCTAACCGAATTGGTCCTTATTCCGTGAATTCCAGTTGTGTGCACAGCGTATCGCCACGACGGTCGGGAACTAGCAGTGGCCCTTCTCAACTCCACTATACTTCTCTTTGACCCCGACGAAGGCATTCAGTTGGGCAGCATTGAGGGTCGTTGTGATCTCGATGTCGCTCAAGTCTCCAATGAGGATCGTGTCACTCCCCACAGGGCTGCCAAGGAGAGGTGAGTTACATGTTTTTCCCATTTTTTTGGAAGATTTTTGAAGCAGCCAATGGTTTTCGCATGCCTTTTTAGACTGGTTTTGTTGATTCAATACTTGGATTTATTTTAATGCGCTGGTATATTGACATTGTTTGCGGACTTACTTTATCGTGTTAGTCTGTCTATTCTGCATATAGTGACAACTTTTTCTTAGAAATCTTACATAATTCACACCTCTTAATTTACTACGTCTTGAAACACTCAGCTTCTTTAACCAAGCTACAGAATAAATGCGTAACCAACTGGTTATCACTTTATTAAGAAAACCCTTGTTGAAACTTACGCAAGGTAAATTTTTAGTTCGTATGATACTATACTTCTCTTGTGAATTGGTTTTCAAACAAGTGACCTAACTTAATTTAAAAGTATTAAAAGAAACTACAGCCTTTTATTAGTAGATAGATAGTTTAAAGTGGTAAGCTCTTATCATTGGTAAAGTTAAGACGCTTGATTTTTTTCTTGTGAAATATTTG